AAAAACACTTCTTTTGAAAAAGAATAAACGACACCTGTTGGTTATGGGTTGCCTGTTGCTCCACGTGAACTCTTTGAGGAGGAGGAGCGACGACGACGACAACGAAAAAACCACCCACTAATAAGAGAGACAAATTCATGTCTAAAAATTAATAAATTGAAGCAGGAAAATTACGGTTACTCAATCGTACAAGGAAGAGCGTAATAAAAATGTGGGATCTTCATAACACAAAGAAGAAGGGCGGTGTACGGCAGAAAATCGTCGAAAATGAAATGTTGGCAAAATCTTGCACTGCGAATTACTTTATAAGTAGAAAAGATTGCTCAAAATAAGAAAAATCCGAAGAATGAGAACAATCATAAGTGTATGCAGATAAATGTAAATTCAATGCCCATCACAATGGGAACGTGCAGAAAGTCTAAACTTTATGAATGCAGGAAGTTACACGTGTTGTAACCTTTCGAGTAGTATTATCGTTGCACGTTATCGTGTTGGGACCAGCGCGTCCAAATTTGCCGGGCGCGCACCGTCATTGATGGGAGGAAGCGACCTTCCGGGGTTGATGTGGCGATTTATTTGGGCTTTTTTTTTACGCATTTACGCATTCTTCAGCAGAATAGGAAATGTTCTGGTAACTGGACGCATCCAAGGAGCGTTTGCAAAGTGTTTTGAGCGTGGTTTTGGAGCGCCCATGCCTCAACAATTACTGTAATAGGAATATGTCGTGGGTTGTTATGCTGTATTAGATCGCAGACTTACCGCAGACCCTTGTTCAGACGCAGTTCACTGTGCTGTTTAAAGGTTTAACTTCCTATGACATCAAGCGGTCCGCAACTTAGTTACCATCACAGCGCGAAGCTGTAAACCATAAACCGGATTCATATAAGATTTTAACCTATAAGTAAAACGGCGCAATGTGGCTCGAGGGGGGGGGGCAGTCGCCGCGCGCGATCTCTGCGTTTTTCTGTGTAAGCATTTCCTCTTCGCTAAATCGGGACTAAGCCTCGGGCAGGGGAGGAGGAACTCCAGGATCATAGCAATTTTCATCTTCCCAAAGTTCCTGCCCACTCCTAGGCTTAGTACTACAGGGCGCGGACGAGCAGAGATCGCGCCCACATTGCGCCAGTAAAACAATAATCAAGTTGATTGTAAGTGTGCACGTGTAGGAGAAAACTTGAAAAGCAATGGAAAATTGAAGATGGGACGGCCACCCACGCAGCGCTTGCAGCGCCAACTGGTCGGCTGTGAATATGGCTTCGCTTTGCAGGGCTGAATGGTATCTCTTCCCTAACACTTTGACGACATCACGTTTTTGGCTTTCCCGCGTGGGACAGGAGCGTTTTGCGAGCGTGCCGCCCCCACCTTACTGCTTATTTTTTGTCCAAAATTCGCAGCAACTTTAATTTAGCTATAAATATAAATATAAATATAAACTTGAATCTCATAGAATTATTTCGGCAAGGATGAAAGCATAAAGGTTAACTATATAAATAGCAGTAGATTTTTGTTTAGAAGAACGCATAATGACCACGAAGAAGCAAAAAACATCACTTTCGCTGCGAATGAAGTTAAAAGCATTTATACCTAAGTTCTTCCATCAAATACAAATATCTTGAAACTCACAGAGTTTTGTATTAACTTCTTCTACAATCTTTCATATGAATGTTTACGACAGTGAAAGGAATACTAGGAAAGAATTGAAATGAAAGTTTTGTGCGTTCAGAAAATCTTTGCTAAATCAAGGGATATTTGACCACTCTGGCTGCCATGTGGTTTATAGTTATGCTAATGTATTATCTATAGAATGAATACAAAAAACTCGAGAAGAAGGAGCGCAAGCACATAAAAATGAATGACATAGTTCTGACGCGCATGCGCGTCAGAATGTCCGATGCGGTGCCAAATTCTGACGCGCATGCGCGTCAGCCTGTCGTCAACGTGTAAAGACCAATACTATTTGTTTATTCTTTATATTTGAAACGACGCATAAGGCAGTCGTGGGAAACAACGATAAATGAGCAACAGTACAACAATCTTTCCTTATAGATAACCTAGTTATAGCTCAACAAATTTTTCTCTAGAAAAGCACAAAAGTGGGAGTGACGAGTGCCACATTAGATTTGAAGAGAAGCATATATACCCCGCACGACAGGTGAAGCTATAGAGCCTCACGTTAGTTCTTGGCGTGTACCAATAATTGAATCATTTAAACCCAAGAAGTATACATTTGGAAATGAAGCTTCTACGGAGCAAGATCAACAATCGGGCAAGCGATCCCCAAGGTGCAAAAGGATTGGATACGCGATCTCATCCTATCCATGTGATGCTGGATTAGAGCTAATCCATGAAAGGAACGTGTAAACGGCGAGAGGGGGAAGATTATAAGGAACGCCTGCGGGCGTGCGCAGTCGCATTTGCTTGGCAGTGCTACGCGTGTACTGTTGAGCGTCATTCGTTCAAGCTGACCATTCAGTCTAGACTTATCGAGTATTCGACATGATTCTATACCGTTTTGAAACGATTCTCAAGCAAGCCACGTTTATTGTTGCCC